AGAGGATCAACATTTAACCTGGTGAGTTCATAAGTATTTAGTGTTAATGTTTGTATAAGTTCGATGAAAATGTTTGTAAATGTATAATGTAAATGTTTGTATATGTTTGAAAACTCCTAGAAAATCCTATATTTTCTACTAGTATAAAAAGTAGTCTTCTACCAAGCCCCGACTGTTTTGTATGTTTGTTTCTCTGTAAAAGCGAATGCTTTTCCCAAATATGACTATCATTACCAAAATATAGTTATATATTACCCTTTATATGAGAAGATCAAAATTTGAATATAATGGGAAAACGTATGTGTACTGCAGTATTATTTGTATTAACTACTAAAGTAATAACAACCTTAAAATGAATGGTTTAATTAAGGAAAAATGTGATAAGATTGTTACCATACTAAACTGACTATAACAAGACGAGGAAAGATATCGGAAGAAATGACCTTTGGCACCCATAGATTTGCAAATCCCACTGTAGCGAACATCAAGGGTGTAGGATAGTCAATCCAATATAGATCTATATGAAAACTCACGCTCTCGCTCCAGGAGATTCTGGTTACAAAACGTGACATAACTAAATAGTTGAAGTGTCATGAAGTAGTATCTCACTGTGACATCCCCAAAATCTCGGCCAGAAAAGACCGATTTCATTTATGCTTTTTAAAATAATTTCAGAGTAAATCCTTTTGATTTGAAAGAGTTGCGGAATTTGTTCCCAAAAACAAAACATGATAAAACAATGTTTACCAAAGCATTTCATAAAAGAAATGTATTTTTCATTATATAATCAAAACTCGGGGTGTCATGTTCTGATATAGACCAATAAGCATAAACGATAATATTACAATTCATTCAACAAATATATACATATACAGACTTGTAAACAAAACAACTTGATGGTTCATCCATCTTACGCCCTTGCGCCACTTCCTGTAATACAAATAAAACTGAGTGGGTCAGGCTTGGGAGCCTGGTGAGCATATAGGGTTTTCAACCCACAATAAATAATTAAATTAATTATTATCAACCAACAATAACCCAGTTACCCATTCCCGTTATTCTCACTTTATGTCCCTAAAATAACTAACACAAGGGACCTAATCTAAGAATATTTCCATCGGGGTGACAACACATGCTGCGGGGTTTCCTCAGCAATATAAGTCAAATAAGGCAACCATGAGGGGGATGGAATACAGCGAATGAACACCCAAGTTCATTAACACTTACAGGTTATGAGCCTGCTAGCGTTCCACAAGACTGTCTAGAAAAGTTTGTGGTCGTCATCTAAATTTCGCTAGATGACTGGATCAAAACAACAACGAGGCCTCTCATCTGTTTATTACACACCAACTATCTACCCATGTTCTACCCAACATATTAGTAGATAAAAACATACATTTTTATACATATTTTCAAAACCTGTATAGCATGCTTGATCAATATATTTTCCATATAACAGATGAGGCACACACACATAACACGTATTTCATATAGAAATAATCAGATCTGTAAGACAGAAGAAAGTGAATATACATTCACACACATAACAACAAAATATACGCATAACACGTATCTCGTATAAAATACTTCATAGTTATACGTTAGGAGAAAGTAACAACGCATTCATACGTATAAACGACAATAAACTTAATACACTCAAACCATACTTGTATTATTATTGCGTTTATGAAAGGTAGTATACACTCACTTTATCAGAAGATGATCGGACAGCAATACGGCTTGCAGAAGTTGTAATCCTCAGCAGATCTGGAAGATCTCTACGAAAATCGAACTTCTCGCGGGCAGAGCTTCGGCTCGGAAACCGCACTTCTCGGGATCTTCGGGATCTCGGGACTCACTTCGGGACTCGGAAATATTACCGGGGCTTCGGGATGGCTTCGGGGGTAAAAACGCAGAGCTTCGGCAAAAAAACGAGAGGAAATTAGCAAATAAACCCGGACCCCTCGCATCCTATTTATAGGAGGCTGGAAGCCTCTCGTACGCGAGGCGTACGCCAGTACGCGGGGCGTACGCTAGTACGCGGGGCGTACTGGTCCGAGAAACGTCATCGCTTACGTATCCGAAGCCACTTGCTGCGATGTCGACACTTTCGGAGTACGCGGGGCGTACTCACTTACGCGGCGCGTAAGTCGGATCGGATCGATGACTCGCCTTCGGATAAGGTTTCCGAATTTTGATTTAAAAATAAATACAAATTAATTAATAAACTTCGGAAATTTATATCTTCTTCATACGAACTCCATTTTCGACGTTCTTTATATCCACGGAAAGGTGAGACTACGCTCTACAACTTTCGTTTAGACTCTATCGGCTAATTTTGACATTATTTTTTATTATTTATTTTTAATACGCCGGGACAGAAAATTTCATTATAAATTCATAACTTCTTCGTTTGACGTCCGTTCTCGCCTAACTTTTTATCGCTTTGATACTAACAACGAGATCTTCGATTCTCGTTTAGATCACTAAGGCTAAATATCGCTCTAACGTAAATTTCACTTTTTACGTTATTCAGCGGTGCCGGTTCTGTCGCGAAACTTCGACAGGTCATAACTTTTTCGTTATAACTCGGATTTCGGCATTCTTTATATCTTCGGAAACCTTGTTTCAACTTCTACAACATTATCTAAAGATATCAAGTTTATTTTAAACTTAAATTTTGACGCTTATTTTTATTCTTAATTAATCAAACTACATAATTAAGCAATTAAGCACAAAAACACATAATACTCAAATAATAAAATCTTATTATTTCAAAACGGGTTACAATGGTTAACCTAGACCATTACATTGCTAAAAATGGAAAGCCTGGAAACACAGGCGTTACACTCACATTACATTATCTCTGAATCTTGTTATAGTATACTTGATATAGTAATAGTGTTCTATGTATAGTATTCTTTGAATAGTGTTCTCTATATAGTATGCTCTGTATAGTATTCTTTGTTATAGTATTCTCTGATATAATATTCTCTGTTACAGTATTCTCTGTTATAGTATTTGTATATGATAGTGTTCTCATAAACTATACCTATTATAGTTTACTAGTGATTTCTATAACTGAATAAATGACTGAATGTATACCTTTGCTACCCAAGGGTACTGAACTGATTGATAGTACTTTTATATCTACATATGTATACATAATATACATCTAACATTTAGACGAACTTCGGATAAATAACCGATACCCTAAGTCCACATCCAAACAAGGAAAAGGGAATAATGCGAGTCAGCAATCCTAAGTCCTTTAAACACTATTTATTTAACTATACATATATAGACATGTTTTTGACAATATATAAGTTTAAAAGAGATTTTGTAATACATTTAAAGAGTTTAACAATAAATATTAATGACTCGATGTCAGTTTATAAAATGATTTAAAAGAAGTTTGTTTGATAATACAGCTTTAAAGTAAATGAAATCCTTTGTTTGAAACACAATTCGAAGTATATGAAATCCTTTGTTTGAAAAACAGTTATAAATCACATGTTATTGATTATATAACTTAACATGTTTTCTACTTGTATTCCCCCCCCCCCCCCATAAAAGCATTTAAAATCAGTTAAAATATAAGTTAAGGGGTATGAACTCACATGATAGTGAGTGATGTGAATGAAAGACCGGTATAGGATGCTAAGTGTCAAGTGAAGACTTGAGCACACACGGATCCTATTTAGCATATAATGACACATATATATGCATCTAATTAGTGTTTATAACATCTAATCATGAAATGAAAAAACCTTAGGGACTAGTAAACACTTTTTTTGAAGTGTTAGACCACATAGGGTTGCATATAAAGGGTGTAGGGTTTCACATTGGAGTTCATGGCCCAAGTGTAAACATCCCCATGAGTTCACGGACCATGGGTTTGCGGCCTAATGAGTTTAAGGCCTCAAACCCATGGTAATTTGTACTTATGTGTGTTTTAAGGTCTTTCAAGTCACAATGAAGTGTTCCATACTTGGTTCCAAGGCTTAGGAAGAGATTAGGGCTCATTTGCACCCTTAATTAGGGTTTACGGCCCAAGGAGATTGCCTTGGCCGTAAGCTCTCTTTTGATTTTGATTTCATGTTGTTTTCAAGGTGTAAACTTAGTGATTCAATCATATAACTAGCTAAGGCAAGAGTACTTACAATATAGAAGCTTGTAAGGGTGATTTCATGGATGATATCAAAGGGAAATGGAATGATTTCATGGATGAAATCAAAGGGTTGTACTAGTTAATGAGATGTAACAACAAATCAAAGGAAGAATTTCTTACATTTTTGGAAAATTAAAATGAACTTGATGATACATGAGAGAGAATGTGAGTTCTTGAACTTGAAAGGAAAGAAATGATGAAAAATGATGTAAACTCATGCATATAGCATGAGTTCACGACCATGGATGAGTTTACGGCTCAAACTCATGAAGTTTGGTCGTAAACACCTCATAATGGGGTTTAAGGCTTGAGTGTTGAACATTAACCCTAGTAGATACTTACTTACACTTGATTCTTGAATGTCATATGATTAAAAACACCCATACAGACTTTAAACAGTGCTAAAAGTTAGCAGAAAAAGTCTGACTGTGATTGAGTTGAACAACTGTACAAGATATAAATTTTGGGTTGTCACATATTTCATTTAAAAAATAATATATTCTTACTTATGATCTTATGGATATAAAAATCGCAAGTAAAAATATATTATTTTTTAACATGAGTAATCTAAATGAAAGTTGTAGTATACCCAAATACGAATGCATAGATATAAAGATTGTTAATTGTAAGATCATATGAAGAAGCTATTACCTTTAGAACATAAGACCTAAGCCAAACCATAAGACCTAAGAAACCAAACAGCCGAGGTCGCAGTGACCATAAGCATCAACAATTCTGAACACCTTATTAGTTATTGTCTCACGTAGGATGTCGTAAGAAAATCTAAAATAACATTTCATAAGTACTAAATGTGTACAAAAACAAGAAGGTGTTATTTTGCAATATAAAAATATGAATGACTAAATGTGTACAGTTTAAAAAACTTGAAGGGATAAATGTGGACGAAAAAACTTAATACCCAAATATATATACAAATCGAAAAATATATTACCATTTTAAGTCATTATCCCTTAATTGTATTTACTTTTATATGATCTAACTCCTCAACCATAGGAGTTATATGTTGTAAAGTTTGTCTTGTTAATAAGCCCCAATCGTTGATATATAGAAGCCTCGATCCTCAATCATCCATGGGCTGTTTTTCAAATCATCACAAATGCTAAGCTAAATAGAATAATTTATAGAAACAACCTCTAACTATTACTAATGACATAAGTAACCTTAAAGAAACCTTAATATACATGAGCATAAATGATCAATACTAATGTATATAACAGATTAAGCAATTTCATCAAATGTTAGGACGTGCAATATCAGTACAAAATAGTTTATTATATGATGTATGTTATATAACATTGATATGTTAAATCAAAACAGGAAATTGAATATGCATTTGACAAAATGGTCATGACATTAAGTTCAAATGAATGATGAAATGCATCTCATTTTCCTCTGTACATTCAAAAGCTTCTTGTTAACACTTAAAAGCTTAGATCTAAAGTTCAGAACTCATGCACCACTCATAGCTTACAAACACCACAACATCCTTCTTTTTCACCTCGATCTTTAGCCTTTCAGCCACAACATCTTTAGTTTCCAGAAAGTGTTTGGACAATGGTGTTGTGCCATGGGTCGGACAAGTGTTGCAATAGGTTATCAAATGGCCCTTTCCCAGTCACATTGTGTTGAACCACGAATCCCAAGAACGCCAACATTGCAAGTCTCCCTGCAGTTATTAAGACATAGTATTGTTAATATTTGTACGTAAGACACAATTATAAATAGATAATCGTAAATTGTAATGTGGGTAAGATAGATCTATACCATTGGCAATCTCTTTATCCTTGGCTTCAGCTGTTGGTGCAAAATTTAGGGGGTTAAATATGCCACCTGGGTACCCAACTTCGTTAGGAGGCAAGCTGTAGCTTTTAAAGATTGGATCTTGATTAACACTTCCTGGATTCTTGATGTCTTGCCACCTTCTGATCTCTACGTAGTGGAATAAGATGAACTCAATAACCAACAAAGTCGAGGACGATGCAAAGTATTCAGACTTTCCGGCGTCGTACCACTTAGGAACATTGAGTATGCCAGCGCTTGTCAAAACCTCCGGCAATAGCATTCCGGCGACACCCAACATGGCCCACCTCCCATTCACAAGCTCAGCTTGTACAAACCACTTCAAGTTCTCAGGGTCCTCGGCCAAGGCAAGTGGATCAAATCCATTATCTCCTGCAAGACTGTATACAAAAGTAGGTTAATTCATGTATATTATAATCAAAATGTTCTTTTTATGAAAATTCAGATTTAGTTTTTGTTTTACCTTCCGTCAAGGTAACCAGGTGAGGCCAACCCAGGTAGCCATTGACCTTTCTTGGCTTCAATCTTGAATGAGGAAGACGAAGAGGTGGCAGGTTTGACAGCCAATGCTCGGTTTAATTTTCCCTGTGATCCGGAAAGGAAGCTGGATCTTGAGGCGCATGGCCGGAAAACGGCAACTGAGGCTTGTGTGACGGTGGCCATGTTTTCCGGCGGGATGAAAGAAGGGGTTTGTGGACTGTGTTGTTGAGGTGAGTTGAAGATTGTTTGTGTCACCTTTTGTAGAACTGATTTCATTGGTATTCTTGTGGCTCTCGTTACATACAGTTGGGTTTTGTATATTCTGGGGATCGGACGGCTGAGATTTGGGGTCATTGGATATTGGCCAATGAAAAGCGATGGCCCTTATCCTTATCTTGGATGCCATATCTACAAATCTATTACCATGTTCCTGTTGGGCATAAGTGACTTGCAGGCCCCTTCGCGTCCTTAACATTTAAATTCTTTACTATATTATAATTATACAATATTAGAACTAAAAACACGCACACATTTTGAAGCTCGCTTTAAGCAAACATCAGTGTTATCTTTTAAAGACCAAAGATTTTACTTGAAGTTGAGTTGAAAGATCTTCAAGGGTGCACAATTCGTGTAATTATAATTGAAGATGATATATCAATTAGTTAACTAGACCGGGAGGTTTTATTGTTGGGATTCAACATGAGGGACTCGACCGCAACCAAATAACCTTCACAATCCCAATGTCGAATCATCAAATAACAAAGATCTAACAATAGTCACAACCATAGAGGGATTACATTATGACCGTGTTCGGGAAAACTAGCTGGTAGCGGTAGCAGCTATTGTATAGCTTGTAGCGTTTTCTTAAACGCTACATGAAATAGCTTCTGAATTTTGAGTGTTTTGATTCAACTAAACTCTAGAAGTTTGTAGTGTCAAACGAGAGTTTTTGTTTAAAACGGAGCGTTTTATCAAACATTAGAAGCTAGAAGCTCTCAAACGCTCCAAAATGCTCCGTACCAAACACGCCCTACATACGTAAACAAGAAAAAATCTAATGAGAAAATGATGAGAGTTTTATTATTGAAAAAATTATAAATACAAATAAAAATAAATAAAACTATAAGTACGTAAGCTATATAGGGTTAACGTAGATAAAGAACAAAACAAAAGGTCTAACATAAAATAAGCACAAAATATTTTAATATGCTAATATCCCACTCAAAATCACAATGTGACAACAATAAACATTAAAAGTTTGTGAGACAAGAAGCGGAAACAAGACGCAGAGTGAGCCTTCATGAAAATATCAACAATTGACAATGTTGATGTTACATGTTGTAGCGAGATAGTTTCAAGCTAAAAGTGACGGCGAGTAAAATAAAGTCAATCTCAATTTGTTTTGTCTGCTCATGGAAACCTTCACAATTAGCATCACCTTATTGCTGTCACAATGAAAGACAATATGCTAAGAAACAAGAACACATATATTTGCAAGAAGCCATCGTAACCAAATAATATCATAACTAGTCACAGTTATAATATGATATTCAGCCTATGTAGAAGAGAGAGAGAGAGAGAGAGAGAGAGAGAGAGAGAGAGAGAGGCAACATCCTATTTCTTACTTTTTGCATGAGATTAATAAGTCTCCAAGGAAAATACAGAAACTGATGCTGGACTTTTGATCATTAGGATGATTATCCCAATCGACATCATTATAGGCACACATCTCTAGAGAAGACATATATGGAAACACGAGACTCTGAAACCGATTGAATCCTTTAAAGATATCTCAAGATATGAATAAGAACTCTCGGATGAATAGTTTTACGAGCTTTAACAAACTGACTAAGCACATGAAATGCATGAGCTATGTTAGGGTGAGTGACAATAACATAAAACAAAATGCCCATAATAATACAATACAAGATTGGATGTGATAAAGGAACATCATCAGTTGTAAAATACATAACATTGGTGTCAAGGGGTATATCAACGATCTTGTTGTCAGTTAGTTGAGCATGTCAAAAAGATCGGATATATATATATATATATATATATATATATATATATATATATATATATATATATATCAACTGAGACATAATATAGCTCTTTAAAGATTTAGCAACCTCATGCAATGTAACATCCCGAGATTTTGCAAGTATTTACGAACCCTTTCTACTATCATTATTTGGTCATTTGTCGTCCTTGGGGTTGAAAGTGTAGAGCCAAGATAAGTATAAGGGCCAAGGTTGCAACTTGTGTCCGCTAAGCGTACAAAGGTCCACCTTAGTACATTAGGCATACACTTGTGTACGCTGGGCGTACTTATGTCAGGATGAAAACCTAATATTTAGGGTTTGAGGGCTATATAAGCAACCTTATGAGCTCATAACCCTCCCTTGCCTCAGCCTCCACTGTTTAGATCCGTTTTCCCCAAACCTTATCCATTTCCTTGAGTGTATGAGTTTATAGAGTGTATTTTTAGTGTTTTGTGAAGAAGGCGTTGCATCAAGGAGTTATAGAAGAAGATCAAACTTGTAGATCTAAAGTTGGTTGGTGCCCTAGAAGCTTCAGAAGGTAAAAAGCTTCAAACTTTATACATCCATTTTATAGATCTTGCTCTTTGGTTTTAAGGACCATTTCTTGTCCCAAAAGTTTCAAGATGGTGTGATGACGTGCCTAAGCCAGCACGAAAAAGTCACACCTGGCTGAGGAGCCTAGCGCACTGGTCGAACCAAGCTAAGCAGACTCAGCGCCTGCTAGGCGCCTAAGAGCAGGGTGCCCCGGCTAAAGGCTCGTACGTGCCAGAGACGCTCCCAGTGCTAAGACAAAAGATATGGTCAAGAGACAAGGAAAATTCTCAGGGTATTACCGTCGGAGCCAATGGCAGTGCTCTGATAGAAGAAGGCGCACAACCCTTTAATTAGTGTCTCTGACCTTATCCCCTAAAAGCGATGCTCTCTCGAACGGATGAGAAGGGTCGCTAAGTATAAAAGGGCGCGCTTAGGAGCCCTAAATATAATCAATCACCTTTCAAGAAGTATTCAATCAAAACCTAGAGCTCTATCTATCTTGACCGTCAGAGCGTTCTTCTGGGAGCCTCCTCACGGGAAGCGGCTAACGGTTGTTCCTTTCTGTGACCTTGCAGATACCAACTAGCATCATACGAGAGAGTGGGAGTGCGAGCAGAAGCAAGGTCGCATCATTTGGCATCATCCATCCGTGCGATGAAGAAAAAAACTAAAAGCCTTATACGCTTCATGACACCATTCGTGGGAGCAGAAGCAAGGTCGCATCAACGGCGTCCGACGGAAATAACGGAGTTGGAGGAGCTTAGAACAGCCTTATACGCTTCATGACACCGTTAGACGAAACACCGCCACCCATAACGGCTACCAGAGAATTTACGGAGGAGGGAAGCTCTATGGTAACTGCAATACCTCCAAGGAGTCAATAGCTAGCCCAACGGCCACCCCTATCGTCGGAAACAGGCATGGGCATAACCTTTCAACCACCACCCACTACTAGAAAAACAGCCTTTTACGACGCTCATTGCGCGTCGTAAAAGGCTCAGACGACGCGCAAATGCACGTCAAGGAAGGCCCTGTCATAAAGAGAGACGACGCGCATTTACGACGCTCATTTACGGCGCGCAATTACGACGCGCGTTTACGACACACAATGCGTATCAAGGAAGGCCCTGTCATAAAGGAAGACGACACGCATTCGCGTGTCGTAACCTTACGACGCGCGTGTTAATGACACGCAATGCGTATCAAGAATGCCCCTGTCAAGAAAGGCCATGTCATAAATGAAGATGACACACATTTTTGCGTATCGTAAATTTAAATATTTAAAAATATATATATTTATATATTTATTAATTTTTAAATTAAATTTTCATTTAATGTGTCATAATATAAATAAAATACCATATACAAAAAAATACAATCCATTGAAAAAATTTAATGTCATACAATTCTATTTCTTACAATATATAAATTTGCATTCATCTAATCTACTCTATGTTTCATACTAACAATTGAAATGAAGAATACAACACTTGCATTTTCAGCATCTTATCTCTTTCGGCTTGAGCTTTCTTTTCCACTTCTAACTCGAGAGTTATTCGCTTTCATTAACCCTGTAAACACAACACAAAATCACTTGTCATTTTCATTCGCTTTCCAATTTCCGTTGTGTGTTTAAACAATGAGAATCAAAATGACAAGAATACCCTCATACAAATTGTAAATATTACCTGTAAAGCTATCAACAATGACAAGTCTTGATCCTATGAACTAGAGAGTATATCATCACAATTCCATCTAACACCACCCATAAGAACCCGTAAAGCTACTCAACCGACATATCATGTCATGTAATGTATTTTTTGTCAGTATATTTTCACGTAGAAAAAAAGTTAAATAAATAAAAATAACAACCTTCTCATTTACTGAAAATGGATACTATACACATCTGTGGAACCCATTTTCAGAATTACCATCCCCATTTAACTGAAACTGTTCATGCTATTTTAACTCAAATAATTTATTTTTAGTAAAAAAATAAATATTTATAATTATAGTGTTTTGATTATATAATACATACCCATCTGTCACTGACTTGTCTTCTTTGTTTTCTCATTGTATCATTGTGAAAGAGCCTTCGATCATCCTCACGTTTAACAACTACAACTGCAGCTCTTAAATCTTTTCATCAAAACAAATAAAAAAATCAAATTAATATAACATAAACTGAGTTATGATTATAGTAAGAAATAAAAACAAAAAAAGTATGTTACCAAGATTAGGAAATAGAGGTGCGGTGCCAATTTCAACATCAGAGAGACTACATCTTTCCTGTGATGTAAACAAAAAGAAAAAACTTGTTTATATATATATATATATATATATATATATATATATATATATATATATATATATATATATATATATATATATATATATCTTTTTGTGATATATGTTGAGAAATTGAATCGCATATGTTAGAATAAAGAATTGTGATCAGTTACCGTGCAATGATCATGTAAGTTTTTGTTTTTTTGTGGTTTTTATCTGTGTCTGTTTAAAGAATTTTTTTTTTCGTTTGCAGGTGTTCTTCTCTTGGTATATCCACTTCTCATTGCAGTTATATGGAAAATTGATGATGGATACGGATGATACAAGTCCGATGCATTGCTGGTAATCCATGTTTCAATTCTTTTTTTATAAAGGTCATTTTTTTATAAAGTTTATGAGTTATAAATACGTGTGTGTATGTTAAGGTGTTTTTTTTTTCTGTTATACACAAACAGCATCACACATGCACACACATAAAAAAAGTAACAAATAAATGATGTTTTGCGGAATATAGCATTATCCTTTCATAGCAGTGTACTTTAAGTTTTTGTCAATTATAGCATTGAACTTTTGTTCTCTCTCTCTCTCTCTCTCTATATATATATATATATATATATATATATATATATATATATATATATATATATGATCCTTTTCTACATTAAAAATTTAATCGTTTTTGCTTATAAATATATAATTAAACTAAAACCATGGAAAATATGAAGATGTACAGAGAGATTGATATATTAGAACCTCAAAAGGATGTAGGTGCTTATAATGTGGTTTACAGAACCCGAAGTCCCAAGGCAGACACAACTTCATGTTTTAAAAAGCAAATGAGATAAGAAGAAATTAGTTAATTAATAAGAAAAAAAGTTACATGCTATAGTTTAAAGATATAACTGAAACATATTACTATTTTTTGCATATAAAACATTTTAAAACAACGAATAAAAAAATAAACACAAATGTGCTCTTGTTGAACCTCTCAGTCCTTTTCGAGTGGTTCGATATGGGATAACCAAGGTATCTATTGACTCACCTTCTTCTTTTAGAATGTCAAAAATAGCATTCTTTATGATAAATGACCAATGATTTCATCTACTATTATAAAAGTTTTAGTCTTTATGATAAATAACCAATAATATATGGGTGGTGATTCCTAGATTAAACTAATTCTTATTTAGGGTGCATTCTTTTGAACGCTTTTGGAAGTTTCTTCAAGCAACCTTATCAGTTTTTTTTTTTTTTTTCCAGTTTATGGTTGTTTTACAACTTACTTTGGTTGTCATTTTGACCTCTTTTCCCCTGTAAGGCTGTGACTTACCTGATTTTTGTTTCAATCTTGATTGCAGTATACCCCTGTTGTTGATACACTTAGATGCAATCCAAGTTAACTACACCGGAGACTAAGATAATGACTATTTGTATAGAACGTTTACTCTGTGGTGAAAAGTGTCGTTTTGTAGTTTTTTTTTGTTTTTTTTTTATTTTTGGAAATTGGCCATTAACTGTCACTGTGTGTAGGTGTTTGGGCCAAGATATTGAATTATCTGTTTGTGTATTATCCCTTCTTTCATAGTTCTTTTGGTTGAAAAGAGTTGTTTTTTTTTTTGTGTATATGTAATCATTTTCTTTAACATATAGTAATAAATACAATTAATTAAACACTTTAAGGATGCCTTTAGTCGTATTATGTATCCAATTGTATTGAATCAAATCATCCTAATATTACATTAAACACTTTTGAGTCAGACTAAACTTTTTTTTTATATACTTGAATTTATACTTGAATGAGTGAATTATTTGAGACTAAAATATGTTGGAATGGATTTTTAACATGGAAAAGAATTTGTTTTTATTTTCTTCACATGAATTGATGATCAAAAACATTTGTATGAGAGTGTTTTGAAATGAGAGCATACATTCTTGTTAGTACAATTTGTAAATGTTTGTATATGTCATGCATCAAATTCTTGTCATTACAATTTGTAATTGTTTCTATTAGCACGAAGAGCATAGATTCACACATGTGTAATTGAAATGTCAAAACATGTTGGGTGTGAAATAATTGATAACTTGGGTAAACTGAAAAAGTAATGGTTTTTCTAAACATTTACAAATTGTAATGACAAGAATGTATGCTCTCATTTCAAAACAGTCACATAAAAATGTTGTTGATCATCAATTCATGTGAAGAAAAGAAGAACAAATTCTTTTCAATGTTAAAACTTCATTCCAATAGATTTTAGTCTCAAATAATTCACTCATTTTTTTTATTAAACTAAACAATGCTTAAGGGATAGATACTCTTACTATTTTGACAATAAAAATAGACATTTTTGCACTGCCAAAACATGAAATTTTTTAATGTAGAAAAGGATCATTATAACAGCAAACAATAACCTAACAGCGAAATAAATAGCCAACCTGCATTTATCATTTTGACAAGTTTATTGGGGCATTGTGACACCAAAAATGGTTCAAAATGGATCAATTTCACGTCATAAAGTTGATATGTCAGAACAGGTTGGTGTGAAATAATTGAAACTGAAAAAGTAATGGTTTTCTACCCTTTAACCTAATTATTTTTATAGCTTCATATCAACCAATCAATCATTTTATGCAATTATGAGAATTAAAATTAGCATTATAATTTAAAAATCTATCTTTTTTATTAAAATGATTCAAAAGTTTGGATGTTGTTAAAGTTTAAAAACTATTGTCATATGGTTATTCCACTCTTTCTTAGATATGGCAATCAGATGAAAAATATTTTTATGCGATTCTGTGAATCGGAATAGGTGTTATAATTTAAAATATCTAGCTTCTTTAATAAAATGATTCAAGAGATCGGATCCAGTTAAAGTTTAAAAAACTTTTGTTATATGGTGTCTCCACTTTTTGTTAGATATGGCATCAAGAAGTTTACCAGATGCATAATTCTGATTTCTAAGTAAGGATTTTACAAAGTAATAATATTCAGGGGGTTTGGGAAACGGCTTTGAAAGAATCAAGTTAACAGAGAAAAACTAATTGTGCACTAATTCAGAAAGATTAAAAAAAACGATGACTTACTATGTGCGTATGAGAGAGAGGAAGAGATTGCATTTGATATACCTTATGAATCACAAATCAAAACCTTTGCTTTTTCTCTGATTTTTAATTCTTTTCTCTTTCTTGCATATAACCTATTTAAGAGACGGATATGTGGATCATTGGTCCAGATTCTCAAACGTTCCAACTTTTCTTCCTGCAATAAACAATTTGCTCAAGGAATGTGTGATTGACAATAATAAATAAATAAATAATTTATTGGTGTTACCTCTGTAAGATCATCAGGGAGATGAAAAGTGTGACGTATTTCTTCAGGAGATGTTCCTTCTATCATGCGGGCAAGTGCACAGCTTGTGAGGTCAACCAGCGGTCTTAGACGGAGACTATCCGCACCAGATGTCAATTCGCATAACTTGTTTGTATCCAACCGAAATTATGATCTGCTTACCTCGATGTTGAAATGGCATTCAATGAAATGGTAGAGGAGATGTTGATCCGAGCCCTAGAAATCGCACCAAAGGGGTGGGGGTTATTGATTAACAATGTTATACTGTAAAGGTGAAAGTGAACAAGATTGAGGAGAGGGGGAAAACGATTTTTAGTGTAATATGGAGAAGGTTCCTTCAAGCCCTAGAAGATGGCCAGAGACCCTTGGCGGTGAGAGATCGGAGGCTAGGTGGTGGTACCATAAAAAACGATTTTTAGTGTAATACGTAGCTTATAAGCACACTTTGTGGTCGCCATGAGAGACTCTCTCAAGAATCTGATGAAAACGCAGAAAACCCTAGAACACAATCATTAACCGTTGCTTTCAAAATACCCAGATCTCCATATCCATACACATTTTCTGGGTATTCCGAACATCCCCTTTTTGAAAAGATAAAAGATCTCAAACCCTAGAACGAAATAATGCCAGTTGGATCTCGTTTGAACAAAACCCATGCTGACAACTCAAAATTATGTGGAAGAAGAACAAAAAGCTACAAGATTCCCCTTTCAGGAGAGAAGAAGCGAAGCCATTCCCATTTCCGTTGAAGAAAGAAAAGAAAATAAGGAGGGAGGGAGCGAAGCCATTCCCATTCCCATTTCCGACCCCACTTGCTTCTTTTTTCTTTGGAACCATCGTCGTTGCCACATAACTTCGGAGATAGCGTGCCTACTGTTGCCTTGATCGACGTCGACGGCCGGGAATGGTACCTAACAGTGGTCGAAGTGTGAGGGAAGAAGAAGGTGGCAGTCAATGTCGGGAGGGGGAAGGAAGGAGCCGATAATTAGGGCAAGAAGGAAAGAGAAAAAAGTAAGGCGGGGTTTTTAATTTTTTAGGATTTCATTTCCCCTAGTTATTAAAGGATGGAACGCGCCTTGTATTAAAATTTATAAAGCGACACTCTTAGACGACACACGTTTTATTATAGGTGACCTCCGTGTTTTTTTTGGTTTTTATTCAGACACTAATTTAAGGGCACTCAGTAATGCGCGACATAAATCCTTAAATTTTTTGAAGAGATGACAATTTTTTAATGTCACTTTCTTTTGTGTAACATCAATCAATGAGTGTCGTGGTTTGCGCGTCGTAAAAGGGTATTTTTCTTGTAGTGACCCCAACAACCGTGGCCAACTAGGGGGACGGTACCACTAGCCACACCTTTTCAGACGTCGCTGACACTACAGCCAACATCAACACAATTCTCAGTAACCCAAACGTCGCCATTCTTTACACAGATAGTACAGCGCCAGTTGGTTTTCCCAACGTCCCTGCCAATAAACCGAACGCCAAATGCCCAACTGCCATCCCACGTAATGTCACCAAACCAGATATTGATGAGCACACCTTTAGTGCTCCCACCGCTCGCAAAAACCATGATAACCTCGTCACCGGTTTTTTTACCCTACGACGGGCACATGGGGCGAACCTATAGTAGCCACAAACGCAGGCTAGCAGCAACCTGCAAAGCAGCCTCCAACCCAATCTAATCCTATTCCCTCAGGATTTTCATTTCAGTTGCCGTTCCAGCAACAAGTCTTCTAAGGTCCAAACCCAGGGTATTAGGCATTCTATGGTGCTCCCGGGGCACAGACATATAACATGCATCATTAGTATACCGCACAAGGCTCGCTAGTCTTCCCTAACCAAGATTGCCTGTCGCGAAGCGGCACATCTCCATTCGCTAGAGAATTACTAGAGTATGAAATCCCAAATATGGCAAAGCTTCCTAACTTGAAAACTTACAATGGCATTACCGATCCGGATAGTCACATTGATACGTACGAATGGACGATGACGTCACTAAAGCTGGATGAGCGTTTTTGGTGCACGTATTTCCCAAAAACTCTCGACGGAAATGCAGGCACATGGTTCAAGACGCTACGACCGGCAAGCATTTACAACTTTGGCCAACTCAAGTATCTATTCCTCACGAACTTCATGTAACTGCGAAAGTATAAAGGCGATTCCCACTCCATCATCGGATGCAAGCAGAAGGAAGGGGAAAGTGTAAGAGAATATTTCACCAGGTTTACAAATGCCAAGTTGGACATACCAGGACACGATGAGGGTCTTACAGCAGGAGCTTTCACGTGGGGACTCATACCAGGTCCTTTATCACAAAAACTTATGGGCAAAAAACCACAGACAATGGTCGAGATAAAGGAACGGGTGGAGCGATATTTGAGACAAGAGGAAGGCGAAGCAGCCAAGCAAGCATAGCTAAATGCCATGATAGCCAGGCACTATAACCCAACCTACACAGAAATGCTAGGGGGAAGCAGGCACTTTGGGTGAGGAAAGAGACCGTTGAGTCGCTTCAGGCCGTTTGCCAAAGATGACAGAAGAAGCCGCCGACCGGATTTATACGTGGTTGTAGATAAGACGCAGCTGGCGAAGGCACCAAAAGGGCGATACTGTGAGTACCACAAAAGAAAAATACATGACACTACCAATTGCTTAATTCTTAAGAAAGAAACGGATGAGAAAAAACTCAAGGGAGTTCTCATGGAGATAGCACACAGCCTGCGCACCAAGCTCGACGCAGAAAACGCTAAAGGAGCACCGCTAGAGGGTGCTCAACCCAAAGAAATGCCATTTGGATTAAAGAATGCGGGGGAAACATATCAATGTTAAACAAAAATATCTTCACAACTTCACAAACTTATGCTCTCGCACCACTACCTGTAATACAAAGAAACTGAGTGGGTCAGGCGTGGGAGCCTGGTAAGAATATAGGGTTTTCAACCCACAATACATAATTATGTTTAATTTCACCAACCAACAATAACCCGATTACCCATTCCCGTTACCCACACTTTACCTCCCTAAAACAACAATTATAACAAGGGACCTAGTCTAGGAATTTTCATCGGGATGGACACTACTACAAAGGGGATTCCTCGGCAATGAATCTCCTAAGACAACCATGAGGAGGATAGAATACAGCAAATTAACACACAAGTTCACTACACCTACAGGTTATGAGCCTACCAACGTTCCATTGAACTATCTAGAAAAGTCCATGGTTGTCATCCATATTCTGCTGGACGACTGGATCACAGTCACATCAAGGCCTCTCGTTATTTTTATTTCATCACGAATCACTATCTACCCATGTTCTACCCAACAATTTTGTAGATAAAATATACTTGTCTATATACGGCTTAAAACCTATATAACATATTTATTCAATACTCATACCACATAACAAATAGTATATAATCACATAGCACATATTTCATAGAGTATGATTCATATATGTGTATTATCAGAAAGCAAGTACACACTTACTCATATCGTATATTTAATACATTAATCAATACTTGTATTAAAATCATGTATATGAAAGGGACTATACACTCACGTTATAAGATGGTTATCGAACAACACTTCAGCTCTAAAAGTAGTATTCCTCAGTGAAATCGGGATGCTTCCTTGAAATCCGGGTTTCTCGCGGGCAGAGTTTCGGATCGGGAACTCTGTTTCTCGGGATCTTCGGGGCTTCGGGTCTCGGGAAGATACCAGGGCTTCAGGGGGTATAAATTGCATGTAAATCGAGGTAATACGGGTGAGAGAGAAGAAATTTGCCAACCAAACTCGACTGCACTTGCCAACCAAGTACGGGTGAGAATGAACGCAACGCGTTCCCGAATGTAGCACATTCCTTGGACGAACGCAGCACGCTCCGCCGTGTGTTATGGCTTACGAACTTCAGACTTGACATGCGACAGGACAAGTGCTGGGCTCCAAACACGGGGTGTTCCCCCTTTGGAATGCGTGCCTCGAGCTTCAGAAAATCATAACTCTCGCCACGATCTATGTTTTCTATGTTCTTTATATCCAAGTATAAGTGAGATTATGCTCTACGACTCTCGTTTAGACTCCATCGGTTAATTTTCACTTTATTTTTATTATATTATTTTTAGTAGGCCGAAACAGGAAAACTTCGTTAGAAATTCATAACTTCTTCATCTGACATCCGTTTTCTTCTGCCTTTTCACCGTTGCACTACTATCGATGAGATCTTTGATTCTCGTTTAGATTGTTTCGGCTAGAAAGCATTCGATTTAAAATTCAAACTTCGGGTTGCATACTATTAAGATGAAACTTAGAAAAATCATAACTTCTTCATACGAAGTCAGATTTGGACGTTCTTTTTATTTACGCTCTCGGTTTAACAAACACTAAGACTTTCGTTTAGATCACTAAGTCTAGATATCGCACCATCTTAAATTTGTATTTTACGTCATAGCATGTCATGTCAGTTTTGTTGCGAAGCTTCCACAGGTGATAACTTCTTCGTTATAACTCGTATTTCAGCATTCTTTATATATTTGGAAACCTCGTCACTACCACTACAACTTTATTTATAGATATCGGGTTTTTCTAACATTTTATTATTACGCTTATTTTTATTCTTAATTTAATTAAGCCACACAATTAAGCATAAAAAACATAATACTCAAATAATACATTCTTATTATTTTCTAAATGAGTTACAATGGTTAACCTAGACTATTACATCAATATTAATGCCTAGCCTAGAAACACGGGTGTTGTAATTCTCTCCCCCTTAGGATGACTCCATCCCCAAAATCACACATCAACAAACAAATACAGATAGCGACTCATCATGTCACCGTCCGTCTCCCATATGAGATTTGGCTCATTCGAATGTTTCCAACGGACAAGAAATAATTCGACCATATTGCGTCGCAACTTCTTAGTCTTACGGTCAACGATTGCCTCTGGCTCTTCAATTAACCTCTTATTTTCATCAATTATTAATTCCGAAAGTGGAATCATGTCGGGAACTTCTCCCGTGAACTTCCTCAAATAACGCACATGAAAAGTGTTATGAATATCATTCAGTTCTTCGGGTAATTCCATCTTGTAAGCTTGGTTCCCAATCCTCTGAAGAAATTTAAACGGTCCAATAAATCTTGGACTTAACTTTCCCTTTTTACCAAATCGTATAAGTCTCTTCCACGGTGAGACTTTAAGCAAAACCGAATCTCCAACTTCAAAAGTCATCGGTCGTCTTTTCTTGTCAGCATAGCTCTTTTGACGATCTTGAGATGCTAACATTCTCTCCCTAATTATTTTCAACTTTTCAGCAGTTAGATGGACTATCTTCGGTCCCATAAATTGCTTTTCCCCAGCCTCAAGCCAACTAGACGACGTACGACATTTTTGTCCGTACATAGCTCGATAAGGTGCCATATTTATGCTCGAGTGGAAACTGTTATCGTAGGAAAATTCTACCAAAGGCAAATGTTCATCCCAGTTGCCTTGGAACTCCATGGTACATGCTCTCAACATATCTTTAAGCATTTGTATCGTTCTTTCACTCTGACCATCATTCTATGGATGGTAAGCTATACTCAAACACAACTTGGTACCCAATTCCTCTTGTAGACTCCTCCAAAATATTGTGGTGAAATGGCTGTCACAATCTGACACATCGTTAACGGAACATCGTGAAGCCTCGCAATTTCTTTCACGTAAGAATTCGCAAGCTTATCCATAGACTATTTCTCATTGGTTGCTATGAAATGCGCACTCTTAGTGAAGCGATCAACGACCAACCAAATTATGTCGTGAGCGTTCTTTTTTCTAGGCAGTTTAGTGACAAA